GGCTGCCTCCTGCACGCCCCCTACTGGGGATCGAGCCCCACAACCCGGGCATGTGCCCGGGGCAGGAATTGAACCCTGACCTCCTGGTTCACAGGTTGACGCTCAGCCACTGAGCCACGCCCGCCGGGCAAGGTTTAGTCTCTAACGCGCTGTCCCCTGCAACCCGGGCACTGATGGTGGTTGTCGCCTGCCCTTCCTTCTCCTCCCAGGGCTCGTAACTCACTCCCTTGACGTTGCTTCCCATTTGGCTGGGGGGAGACGTGTGGAAAAGCAGCGGTTTAGGCCGGGCTGGTGCCTGGCCTTTTGCTTTGATCTCAGCGGGCGTTGGATTCTCTGCGGCCAGAGCGCCAAACTCCTCCTCACGCTCCAGGCGGCTCAGAGCCGATGGAGAGGCTGGGAGGGCGGGTTTTGCTGGGGTGAACATCTGGGCGGCCTCCTGGGACACTCGGGAGGCTCCGGCCTCGGGAAGACACCCCAAGGTGGCTCTTGAGGGTCTTTGTCTGCTGTGAGATGCTCGCTGGCTCATGTGGCAGCAGCTGGGGGTCCGTGGACAGGGCCCACAGACACCACGTCTCTCGTGAAACGAGGGAGCATGAAAACAGGGCACCCCCGAAACGCACCCCATGTGGCGGGCGCGTGTCCTCTTTGCGATTCCAGGAAACCGCCCATCAAAATCGCAGATGCGTTCCCGGTTTTAAGGCACATCACGCCGACCGCTATTTGTACGATTCTCACAGACTCTCCGTAGCCGACTGCAAGGAAAGCTCATGTTGACTAGCACCTCTTGTCCATCATATTTTTTAAAAAATATTTTCATTGATTTCAGCGAGGAAGGGAGAGGGAGAGGGAGAGAGAGACATCCATGATGAGAGGGAATCACGGACCGGCTGCCTCCTGCACGCCCCACACTGGGGATGGAGCCCGCAACCCGGGCAGGTGCCCTTGACCGGGAATCGAACCCTGACCTCCTGGTTCATAGGTCGACGCTCAACCACTGAGCCACACCGGCCGGGCGCCCATCCACCACGTTGCTACCGTTGGCAAATGACCAATTATTTCAGAGGCAGAGCCCGGAGCTGGTTACGTCGGTGGAACCAGGAGAGAGAGCCTCTTGCGGGAAACTCATCGCTGGTTCATAGGTCGACGCTCAGCCACCGAGCCACGCCAGCTGGGCTCCCGTCCACCACGTTGCTACCGTTGGCAAATGACCAGTTATCTCATAGGCGGAGCCCTCAGGGGCAGTGATCGTCCGGAGCTGGTTACGTCGGTGGCACCAGGAGAGAGAGCCTCTTGCGGGAAACTCATCAAATGGGGCAATGAGTTAATCCCCTGGATTTCGAAACCCACTTTGCACCAGCGACCGACATCCCCGTGGGCATCACCCATGACTGCGGGAGCCTGGGGCACCCTGGGCACACAGGCTGTGACCGGGCTCAGAAGCCGGAAAATGCAATGAAAACGGGGATATGCTGCGGATTTGCTGGGATGGAACGGGTCCCGGCACAAGGGCAAGTCGCTTTTGTCCGCCTGCAGCGCTGGGCGCCCGGATCGCCCGGTCCTCACAGACCTTCCGTCCCCAGGAGCCGGTTGGTCGAGG